GTGACAGGAAGAATTCAAAGCGCCATAAATCCTTGCCCCTTTCTGCTTAACTGTCCCCTTCTCAAGCAGTTGTTTAGCCATTTCTGCCAAATGCACTGCAAAATGGGAATGCATCGGTGATATTGCTCTCCCAGAACAGAGGTTTGTAGAGGCGAAATAAAAGCAAAGGGCTCTAATTCATCAAAATATTCTAATATTGCAGAGCTCCTCCGAGAGTGTCAGAGCTCAGCAGACGTGAAAGCTCATTGCAATTCAGAATGTAAAAGTTAAAGGGGCTGCTGTGAGAGAGTGGGGCTTGGAGACAGAAGCCAGGTAATCCTGAACTTCCCTTATCATAAATAAATTTTGTTTTAATCTGTACTGTGAGCCTGGCATGAGCGCAGTCTGCCCAGAAAGCAGACAGCAATGCCAGGGAAACTGATTTCCCGGTACTCATGTGGAAAGAGAGAGTGTCTAATTTTCTCAGCTGATGGATACTGAGGAGCTGGGAGGCAGACAACTCTTATGAAAGAAAACAGGACAAAATAACAGTGACCATCATGCTTCAGGGAGGGCTCCTTGAAGACATTTTTAGAGGCACCACTGGACTGGTTAAGTCCAGACTCAAGCCACTTCATTTACAAACGGTGGCCAGATGGGGCACTGTTTTCTGAAACAGTCCTGGAAGACCAGGGCACAATGTTGCCAGGGATAGAATAGCTCCTTGTAGGAGGCAGCAACATTTCAAAGTTGATAAACCTCTGTATATGGATATGTATCGTCCAGATCGGGGGCTAAATATGCCAGTTATAAAAGCTGGCGTTGAAGGAAGCTGCCTCCCAGAGACAAAGCTTATTTCTCATCAGTTGGTCTGGGGTAGGAGATCTCAGGCCTGGCTGGGTTCAGAGCAGAGGGGGATCCAGGAGCTATTGCCGCTCCCAGATGCTCCTCCTAGGATGCTCAAGCTCCCAGCCCCGGGGCTTCCGGGTGCTATGAAAATCTGCTCTCCACTGGTTTTCTGTCTACCCGCGTTGCAGGTGGCCGAGCTGCAGAACCGAGCTGAAGAATGGGTAGCTGCTGGGACAACTGGCGACTCCCCCTCCCGCTCTGTGATCCTACAAAGAGCTTGAGCCATGCTGCTGGGGCTGCCCACCCGCAGCTCCCAGAGGCTTCAGGAAGGGCCATCGCCAGCACTTCAGCTCTCACCCACCTTAGCTGTGCGTGAAGGCTGCTCTTCTCACAAAGCTGTCTGCCTTTCCTGGGGTAATGAAACAAACAGGTAATTTCATCGGCAATCTTGGTGAAACAAACCCACTCATTCAGCAGGGATCGGGACAGGGGATTTTAGTCACTAAAATTGCTTTCTCACCTATTGAGATGAATTCCTCCAAGCCAGCATTGCAGCAGGTGGGTATGAATCTCAGACTCACTTTGTTCATCCCACAGATGAGGTGAGGTAAAACAGCAGGCTTTCACATAAAGGCACATCCCCGCACCTTTTTCTTCTCCTCTGCTAAATGGGCTTGAGAGCTAAGGTCAAACTCCCGGCAGTGTGCTTTACCATCATAGCTGCTGGGCTCCTTCACACTCAGCATCACTCCTCAGGGACATGCCTGTGTCAAAAGAAGACTCACACATGGAAATATTCATTAAGATGTTCATTTGTTTATCTTGAAAGACAGCACATACATTTTATCTACTTGTAAGCATGTGTGGCAAATACAGAGATACTATGAAGTTGTGCTGTCAAACAAGACAGAGTTTTGAGAAAAAAAAATAAAAATTGTCTTCATTCTCTTCTTCATAGGAGCCGTCTTCAGAAAGACCTGACTGAATCTCAGGACAAAGTCCTTGATCTACACCGCTTCTGAAGGCTCACGAGTTCTCACTTCATGTGCAATAGCCGAGTCTGACATAACTACATGAGACTTTAATTCTTGCATTTTTACATGTATATTATTGTTTCTTCCAGTTACGTTCTACTTTTTCCTAGCAGGAAACTAAAATGTGCCTTTAGTAATATCTACCATCAATCTTATTTATTCCATCTATTTCTAGGTAATTATATATAGTGTATTTCTTAGTCTATATTCGGATGGCCTATTTAGAGATGAATGGATTCCTTCCAGAATGGCAATGACCTTTCTGTGGCTCAAACATTAATTTTCTAAATGGCTTCACAGGTGAAATATCTTATATATCATCATAATTAACAAGATATACCATATTAATGGTCAGAAAACATGCTTTTCATAATTATAAACAGAATCCTTTCTGAGGTACAACCTTCCCCTCTACTATGAATTGTTAGTCAATACCATCTGATACATTCACAGTGAAACCTTCTAAAACCCTATTAAAAAAGCAGTCTTAATTGCCAGTCTCATGTACCTTAGGCACCCGCAAGATGTACATTTTAGAGACATCAATATTACACTTCAGAACTACTCAGAGATTCATCTGCTATAATGTGTTTGACAAGCCTTTGTTTTGAAACAGCCAACTGGCATTATAGGCTAAATTGATTTACCTGCTTTCCTAACTTCATTAAAGTCAACTATGCCTATAATTTCTCAGAGCGCAGAAGAAACTTGCAACTGCAATTCATATTCTCTCATGAGTCCTCCTTTCTGATTGCAAAGTCTTAAGGGTCAGGGGATTAGAGGCTTTCTGGAAAAACTTGGAGGAACGATTGCAATGATAATGAACCAGGCAGAGTGGAGAATAATTCTGTTCCATATGAGGACCTTCTGAGAGAAATTAGTGCGTGTCTCACGTAAAGAGACAAAGTACAAAAGTTCCATTATACTAATTTGAGCTCTGATCTCAGCAGATCTTACGAGCACGACTATGTCTGGCAAAAGATCACCAAAGAAAAGCAATGTTGGAAGAAGCATTGGTAATTCAGTAAGTGGTGATTTTTCTTCTAAAGAAAGACTGAGCTGATGCTGCAGCCAAGTACCAGTGTGCAGCGTGCTGTCAGCTGGGTCACGCGAGGTGTTGCACTGAGGCCTGCCCGTGACCCACAGAGCTCTCGCTGCTTCTAACAGCTGAGAGGTTTATTCCAGGATCCTGTCTAAAGCCTAACATATGGAACAACATTCTGCCTAACCTCTTTGCCCCATTAATTGAAGGGGAAACAGAGCCTTCATTTCCTGCTGAAAAAGTCTGCAAGGAGCAGAACGCCGCCTGCATTCTGCCAGACAGTTACTCGTCAGACAAATCGTTACTGGGATGGGAGGCAGGTATATTTCGCTCAATAAACATAATTTTCTCCTGAAGCTTCTTAACTCAGAAGAACACAATTTGCATTTACATTATTATAAGATGATAAAAGTCCCCTTATTTTTATTAAAAGCTTTATGACTAGAAAGTGTCATGAGGATTAATTTGTGACCAGTTTTTTACAAGCATACAGAATTTATCACTTAGTAACAAGCACAGATTGCCAAAAATTAGTGATGATCATGGATGCTATTTAATATAACTGCATAAGAACTTTAGGGACACATACACAGAACGTTCACTTACTGCAGAATTGTATGTGAGGTTCAAAACCCTTAAGAATTTAGAAACTTGCCCTTGAAAAATGGATAATCATATTTTCTAGAATGTCTGCTCAGTTTATGTTGTTTCATATATTTTCTTTTACTATGAAGGATAAATCCAAATACGACATTTATTTTGACAATATTCTGAGACAAGAAATTCCAACCATCTAAAAATAGCAACCTCTCACAAACAGTCCAGATATACTTATCAGGATTAGAAGAGTTTGCAGATTAATGTGATTTTGAGGTATTTGCAAAACTGTGCTGTTTTTATGATGTCTTTTGTATTTCATATCAATAGCATTAAAATATAAGGGGCAAACTGGATACTGTTATTGTTTATATTTAATTTATGATCCTGTTTCTCTTCCTGGTTTTCATAAAATGTTTACCTCTTTTTAACACTCAGAGATTTCTGTGTTTATGTGTGTCCATAACTGCATGTAGGAACAATTTTGTACAACTTTTCAGCCTTATAAAAACATTCTAAATGAATGTTGCTGTAATAACCTTGGTGTTCAGACAATAAACACCTCTAAGTAAAAGAATAAAATTATCGAGGTATTTGTATTTACATTGCATGTACTCAGCATCTTGGTCAAAAATGACCTAATAAGAGCTAGCTAATGATACGTTTTTACCATACCTTAAGAGGGAGAAATCCTATTGTCACATGTCAAACTGTTACTCAGATTGCAATCCTGAAGAAAACCAGTGAATTATTACTATGGCAAAAGCTATTCCTTGCTCAAAGACTGTCATAAAAACTGATTACAGGTCTAATGGACCTTGCTTCAAACTCTGAATCCAGAAACCTTCGTTTAAAGAAAGGAACGGTTGACTGTTGGGATTCACAAAGCTGTGTTTATGTAGTTTGAAAGAACAGGTTTCTAATATGTAAAATTGTGAAAGTTCATTAATTTTCCTAAATAAAATTCAAAGGTTCCAAATCATATTTTAAAGAATATTTTGCAAAGTGATAACTGCCATCTTCTGTCCTCTATCTCTTCTCTGGCCCAACAGCGAGGACTGTGAAGACCACAGAAGTCAAACTGCTGCGGGTCATGTGGAGAACACGCTGTCAAGAATTTAATCAGCTCGAAGTGGGAGACAATTCTCCACATACACTCCGAAATCAGTGCTTCAGATTATTTATCAAAAAAAAAACACCTAGGCAGAATTTTAGTTTACCTGATTGTGTGAACGAACACAAGCTTTGCTAAAAGGGGAATTTTGGGTTCAGTTTTGAAAATGTGACATGCAGGTATTCTACTAGATGCACTTTCATTGTTAAATATAGTTGTTTCAGCTGTGCCTATAGATTGATGTTGCACTTGAGACTGTCAATGGCATTTCAGATTGTACAGGCTTTCAACAGTTTCATGAGTGTGCTCAACCAGATTTTAAACAAATTTAGTTGTATTTTGGGTCCAACCTGTGTTATAGATTAGATCAAAACTGCACCATAGTTACACTTGAACCACAACTGTTAAGCGTAGATGCTAAAATCACTGACAACCCTAGGAATAAGGCATCAATTTGTAATTTATTTTTTCTGCAAGGGACAATAATGTGGGGTTTAAAGAAAGCACTCCAGACACATTTAGAACCTGATCTTACAAGGTATCGAGCATCTTGGATTCCCATTCAGTAGGCATAAAGGATGTTTAATGTCTTAACAGGAGGATCTTGACACTTTGGAAGACAATAAGCATTAGGAACACAAAATGCAAACTTTCTATTCTATATTACTCTTTTTCTTTTTTATTTATTTCAATGACACCAGTTATTTTTGCTAAAAGCATTTAACAAGCATTGAAGCCACACCAGTCATAAAAGAACTGAGAGCTCTCAGATATTTCTACTGCAACACTGGTCTCCCATTTAAATGACAGAATCCCTACTGAAATTCCTACTTTGTTGCATGAGTCTTCAAGGATCTTCCTGTACTCATGATACATCTATCAGCTTCTCTGTAAGTAAGCAGGCAGGCATTCTCTATAATGACAAACAGAAAAAAAAATGTTGTGAGTTTATATATATATACTTTGATATCTACATGTTTTATATTTGGGTTCAGCATCTTGCTGATAGATTTTTTTTTTTTCTATCTCAAAGGCTTATTTCTATAAATTAAAAGTAATTACATGATCAAAGGCAATTAAAATCTAAAACTGGCAAAACAAGTAAAAAAGCTGAACAAGTGTGAATTTGTTCATTTATGAGCAAGAAAAATATTGTTAGTTGGACAAAGTAAAACAGAGATGGTGTGCAATTGCCTGTCAGATTAAATTTTGATACCAATGACATTTTTCAAAAATCATCATATTGGCATAAAGACTATGGATTAAGAGCAAATACTGTACCAGGAAGGAGCTAGAACTGGTGTCTTTGGAAGAGGTTCACAAGGGCTTTGAAGCACTTGTGAACCTCTTCCAAAGACACCAGCTTGTTTTTATATCAAGTTCTGTTATTAAAAAAAAAAAAAAAAAAGGTGCATTAGTGCTTTAGCTTACAACATTCTAAAAGAGATTAGAAGGTTTATTTGAAAAACACATAATACGGTAAAAAGTCACCAGAGAAGGAAATCTAAGACAACACAGAGGTGAGCCACGTAAGATATAAGCCTAACAATGCAGAACTGACAGGGATTTCTGTTCTTATTTCTTTCACTCCTGCGCAGCAATTCTCAAACAGGCCGATTTTGCGGGATAGGTCCAGGTGGGACCAGGTGGGGACCCAGTTTGGGAGAAGATTATGGCAAAGACAGTACTGAAGGATGACAGGCAGTAAGAAGACTATCCAGGGGAAGAAGTGAGCAGTCAGAAAGCAAGAGCAGGGTGAGGAAGTTGGACAAGTAAGGCTGCCACCTCCCAGTGGGGTCTTCCTAATGGGACGTGATCAAAAGAGCAGGTGGCTGGGAGGCAATGGCTTAGCTCTGCTGCTTTCGGCAGCCACACGCTTCCTTTGCTCCCGTGATCTGTGATGCTCAGCCTTGCTCCTTCCTTGCTCCATTTCCTCACTGAACTCCCACCTCCTAGCTGCACTACCTGCTCTGTTCCCAGTGACTCCCTCCCTCTGCCTAGTTACAACCACACCATCCCTGGGGGATTGTTTCCTATTTTGGGAACTACTGATCTGGTTCACCTCCTCAAATGAAGAAAGTGCACATCTATCTAGTCCATCCCTGACATCTATTTGTCAAATCTATTCTCAGAGGCTTCTGATGAAGGCCATTTCACAACATCCCTAATCTCTCTGTTCCAGTGCTTCACAATCTTATAGCTCAGTTTCTTTTCTAATACTTAAGATAAATATTTATTGCAAATTAAGCTGATTTTTTTTTTTTCCTTTGGTAGACAGGAAGAGCAAAGGAACACTGTCCTCTTTTATAATAACTCCTTACAGCCCAAGAAGCTATTTTCCTTCCTCTAGTCTGCTCTTTTTGAGGCTAAGCAAACACAGTCTCTTCACTGTTTGAAAGGAGCTCATGTTTTCTGGCCTCTGTATAATCATTGGCTGGACCCTCCTCAATTTGTCACTACCTCTTTGCACAGTGATGCCTAAAACTGGACTCTGTTTTTCAGTCACAGCAATACCAATAGTGCTTATATGGTGTCCAAATTTAATTCATGTTTGTATACACGAATCCAGTTCTGGTGGAGATGAAAAATAATGTTCAAAGCAGTGTCTCTGCTGATATGATGTCTGGAACAGATGTAAACTACTGGACCACTCAAAACTCAATAGAATTTATGTTTTGCCATACCATAAGCTTTTATTAAGTAAAATTGCTAACTAGGACTTCATCCATAGTTGTATGTGAGTAAGAATAGAAGAAGTAAACCTATGAAGAATATCTGAGAATTAGCATAAATTACCAGTTGAAGCCTCAATTTGTATGAGGGCAACATGTACATTATCAGTTTACTCTGTATTCAACAATGTAGTTATTCCAGATAACATTTTCTGAAGCCAGGCCTAAAGTACATCAATGGAAATCCCTTTACTAGCAGACTATGTCCAGATAAAAATGTAATAAAACCTAACTGCATACAAGGGGCTCTGCTCACAGCTGCACAGTCTAAAACTTCTCAGTTTGGTTTAGGAACTCCCAACACTGTGAAGCAGCTGAGAGCTTCATGCAGTTCAGAAATGCTAACCGGGGGTCTGAACTACATTGCCCCACTCCAGCTAGCTCAGTGTAGCATTATTGCTCTTTCCAGTGGGAGCTCATTGTTGAAAAAGTGGTGCAAGACATGAGGGTGACTCAAGCCCAAGATGTGACTAGGTGTATATATAGTAACATACACATTTGCATTTTTGTGTGTAACATACACACAAAAAATGGTGAGGATGTGTGGTGAATGACAGTATAAACTGTTTTTCTCATGCACCTTTTGGCCTTTTTGCCTTCACACTTGGACACCAAGCTGTTACTGTCTGATTAACATTTCTACCCTCCCAGCAAATATGAAGCATATCAAGGATAACTAATGGAATACTAAGCCATAAATGTTTTCTTGGCATTTGTTTGGCCTGTGCTATTTGGGAACAATAAAAGCATCTCATGTTCATAATGATAATACATATATACCACCACAGATCACACCATCAAGCATTCTCCTTCTATCTTACTGTGTTGCACAAAATGCAGAGATAAACATTAATATGTATTAATAGTATGTAAATATAATTAATCATAATAGGATGTTCCTGACATATTATCACTGCTGTTGATAAAATATAATTAAAATTGTCTGGTTGAGTCTTCAGTGCAGCTAGAATTGGCATCTCTGCTCTTGCTGATTTCATGTGTCTATCTAAAGATCATTACACTTCTAAAAATCTTATTATTTTGCTATGTTCCTGGGAGAAAGTTAAGCAGAGCTGCTTGTTCTTTACACAATATAATTAGTGAAAAGTCATACAAAAGAATGAAAGCCACACCTACAAAGACTGAAGCCAAAATGATCACTAACTCCAGAGAGGACAGGAATTTTAGGCACCATTCTCTCAAAAAATTATAATGAAACAGGCAACACTCGTGTTCCTGAGCTTGTATGGGAAAGCATTCAAATTCAAGTTTTGCATTTTTCAGAGACTGTTGGGACTTTATTAAACAAGAACTCCACTGAAAAGCTCCACGAACTGATGAAGAATCATAAGAGGACTGTTGTTTTGGGGAGCTGAAACCACTTTGAACAAAGAAAGGCAATATCTTGAGGAGATGATAAAAGTAAGAATGAAAGTAGCATGCAGAAGGTGACACGGGAACCATTTTTCACTGTCTCTTCCAATAAAAGAATGAGGTAGGATATATGAAAGTGGGAGGTTGGAGACAAAGGGGTTCTTTGTGCATTGCCAGCTGATCCTTGGAACTCCCAGCTGCGGGATGCTGAGGATGCCCTAATTTTCTGCAGGCTCAAGAAGTGACATGGCAGACAAATAGAAGAAAAGCTCGTACCCTCTCCTACCCTTCCACTATAGCTAACTTGCTTAAGTGGCACAAATTCCTACAACACCTCAAACAAAAGACAGTAACAGTGCTGTTATGTTTTTGCATGTATTTAGGGACAAGATCATGTTTGCAACTGCTGTTAATGTGAGCAAACTCGTTATATTGTACATACAAAAGTAGTAATATAAGGCAATGCATTGTTTTCATCACATGTATTTCCCTTTAATACAATTAATTTCACATATTCAGATTCGCTATTAGCCAAATCTGTATTTTTGTCATAAAAGGGAGAGAGAAAGCAAGACTATCTCACCATATTCTTTATACTCTCCCCATGATTTGGCAGGGTGTGCTAGATTATCATGTTGGCGCAATGTGGATGATGAGATATAACCCATTATTGTAATTTTAAAATTACTTGCATTTTTAAAGGTCATGCAGCTGTTTTCAGTTATATAATTTGTAGAAAGATGTGATGGAACAGGAATAAAGATACAGCCAACAACATGCACGTCCCACACTTGTAGAAGATCTTCCTACTTTTTTTTCTGTCTTGATAAATGAAAATGGATGCAATGCTTTTTTAAAAGTAGATTGGGCCTACATGTTTAGCCATGTATCCTGACTAGGTTCACTTGGAACGGAGGCAGTTGTACTTGGAGGTTTTATGAATATAAAGATTAATGAATTTGTACAATTTGGGCATGCAAAGCATTTTTATCAGGCATATTCCATTTAGAATAAGCAGTAAACCATATATAAGGGTTGTGTCAAAGTTTACTGAATAGGGCCCTTGGTAGCTAATGTAACATTTCTCCAACAAATCAAAGGTATTGTTCTATGCTCACATGAATATACAGTAGCCATTACCTTAAATTTAAAACTCACTGTGAGCAGCAAACACACTGTGGGGATATGAAGGCCATATTGTATCAGTGGAGTCTGCAGAGATTTTCTTCATATGGCTTTGCCTGGTTGAAATATATGTTGCAGTTGAAAGCTAAAGGGATTACTTTTGAATAGTCATCACAAAGGTTGATTATATTCGTATATCATTTAGCTGGACCCTGCAGGCTATTATTCCATTAGCTGTGCTGGCCCTGCACTGTCAAAAAGTTGATCATATAATGTAAAAAGGTTACATGCTCTGTTAAGGTATGTGAAGTAACTTGAAACAGTAATCTTTTAAGAGCACTACAGCTTTATACTTGAAGGTAGATTGCATTTAAAATAAATACCCGCAAACTGGAATAAATACAGTAAACCTACCTCTGTTTTCTATTTTTCCTACTTTGAATAGGCCATATATGATTTGAGTAAGCTAATTGTACCAGGTAAGATGCTGGCTACAGAGTAATTTTTTCAACCTCAGATCCAAAGAAACTATACCTCAGAACAGCTGTGTCTTTACACGAAATGCTTACTGAAATTATGTTTCTGGTGAAAAAGATTTGCTGATTATGTTTCCCTTGCACATACAAACACACACACATTTTCTTTCAGTGCTTAATAAAATGGATCTTCAGACGGTTCCATTATGTGGATGCCTTAATATTATTTTATGCTAAAACATGGACAGCGCATTAGATTGAAAGCATCTTACTGTTCCACAAGGCAGAGTAATCATGGACTATCCCTAGATAGCAAATGCTCCCATTGGGGAAACAATACCAACAACACAGGCTAATGAATCACAGTAGTTATTAATCATGGGCATTTGTAAGAGCCGCATATAATAGAGATGAACTCTCAAGATTAGAAAGGTTAGAAGGTGGGATGAAGAAAAGGACAGGAGATCATCCAGTTGCATTTTAGAATAAGTTTATGGATGAGTATTTGCTCGAATACAATTGTGCTCATGCTTGCTTCAGTCTTTCTAAGCAGGCAGAAAAAGAAACAATTTAGCCCGCTCAGTTCACGTAGCTTTCAGATCCTTGTAGGACAATTTGGCAAAAATAAATAAATAAATGCACACATCCAAGACGCTTAGGGCTTATGGCCTAGTT